ACAGCACAACCACACAGAGGCATTAAGCTCTGATACCCAAGTAGATGTCAGCTCTAAATCTATCTCTAGAGTTCAGAAACTAATAAATAATCATCATAGATAAGAATCTAAGCAGTATATGTCTATAACAACTCAAATCCCTAGCACAAAGCAAAAATTCAGGACAACAATCGACAAAGATTTATAAAGCAAGTTTAATATAACACCATGGGCGACAAATATACATAAGTTCAGAGTAAATATATGTACAAACTCAACACATAAAGAATACACAAAGAGGAAGAGAAGTGAACCACAAATCTCTCGGATTGTCAGTGCCGATTGATGATAAATCCACCCCGGATCATCCGTATGCAAGCTCAATGTTGTTTTCTAAGCTAATCCTATCCAAAAATGAAGGTTGATGGAGTTGGGATCAAAAATACCCAAAACCATACCCAAAAAATATGTTTTTACACCTAAATACGCATTTCTGACTGTCCAGCATCGCCTGACGATCAAAAAGCGTCACCCGACAACCAAAACAACGTTTTCCCCATGCTATAGCTCGCCTAGCGTCGCCCGATGACCAAAAGTTTCGCCCAGCGACGGATGACAGAAGGTTGAAAAATTAGCACAACATTCTGCATTGTTTCGTCCACAACTTTTGAACTGTAACTCTGATTCGCGCCCGGTTTGAAGCGTTGGAAAGCTTATTCAATGCTCTTTCTAAAAATGAAAAAATAAAAACCAAATTGATGATTTTTTTATATTTGATTTTGAGCTTTATTCATTGATGAGTTGCTCAAAATTGCGCGTTTGAAGTCGTGTCTTCGACACTTTATTTCTCATGCTCCAAATACGCATCAATACCTAAAAAATGAATGGAAAAACATCAAACGATACCCTATGTACACAAAAATACAAATAAACACAAATTAAATGTATTTATACAAAAGTCGGGTTTATTCAATGATATTAACAACAAAAAGTCGATAAGTGCAACAAAAAGTATATATAAAAATAGCTACAATCTGCACTTATCACTAGCATCAAAATTCTTTCTGAGTGGTAATGTATTGTACAAAAGAAATTATAATATGGTGCTACTCAGGTGTGTGGCGAAACAAGAAGCAAATATGTTTATGAGGGAAATGCACGAAGGCACTTTTGGAATCCATACAAATGGGCATGCTATGGCAAGAAAATTTCTATGGGCAGGATATTACTGGTTAACAATGGAAGAAGACTGCTATCATTACACAAAAACCTGTCACAAATGTCAAATCTATACCGACAAAATGAATGTACAACCTACTCCTCTAAATGTCATAAGCTCTCCGTGGCCATTCTCAATGTGGGGAATTGATATGATTGGCATGATCGAACCGAAAGAATCTAACAGACACCGATTTATACTAGTCGACATTGAGTACTTCACCAAGTGGGTAGAAGCAGCATCATATGCAAATGTGACAAGCCAAGTGTTCACTCGATTCATTAAGCAGAATCTCATATGTAGATACGGGGTTCCGAACAAGATCATAACTGATAACGAGTCTAATCTAAACAACAAAATGATGAAAGAATTATGCGACGATTTCAAGATCGAGCACTATAACTCTTCACCATATCGACCCAAGATGGACGGGGCCATCGAAGCTGCAAACAAAAATATCAAGAAAATCATTCAGAAAATGGTGAAGACTTACAAAGATTAGCATAAAATGCTTCCTTTTGCTTTACATGGCTATCATACCTCTGTACGCACATCAACATGTGCAACTCCTTTTTCTCTGGTATATGGCATGAAGGCAGTACTTCCAGTCGAGATAAAAATTCCATCACTCTGGGTGCAAATGGAAACAAAGCTCGAGGAAGCCGAGTGGGTTCAAACACGACTTGATCAACTCAACCTCATTGAAGAGAAACGTTTGACAGTTGTGTTCCATGGTCAATTATATTAGAAATGGATGAAGAAAGCATTCGACAAGAAAGTTCGTCCTCGCATATTCAAAGAGGGAGATCTAGTGCTTAAAAAGATCCTGCTGCCCCGTCTTGATTCACGTGGTAAATGGACACCCAACTATGAAGGTCCATTTGTGGTAAAAACAACATTCTATAATGATGGCCTTATCCTCACAACAATGGATGGGGAAGAACTATCGCATCCGGCAAATACAGACGCAGTCAAAAAATACTATGTATAAGAAAGCTCGCTAAGGTCGAACCTTAAACATGAGACTTAGACAAAAAGGAGTGTCCCGATAGATTGAAAACCCGAAAGGGCGATCCAGGCAAAAATTAGGAACATATACAAAAAAAAACTTATCCTAGTAGATTGAAAACCCAAAAGGGCGATCCATGTAAAAATTAGGGATCTTATCCAAAAAAATAAAGAATAAAAAGACTGCGATCTAAGAACTCCGACCACAAACCACGACGAAAGAGTTAAATCCAAACCATCCAGCTCAGAAGCAGAGAAGACTGGAGGTTATCAAAATTATTGGGAAAATAGCAGTAGCGATTATCATTTTCATTGCCATTTACAGTTTTAAAATTTTCTATAATTACCTCCTTTCAGGAATTGCATCTTGTACTCACGCCTATTCAAAGGCATATCAATAAAAGTTGTATTTCTCTTCATATCTCGCGAATCATGTTTTTTTTTCTTTTTTAGACTTGTTTGCAAAATACTACGTTTGTTTCTTTTGAATACTGTGTTGAAATCATTTCGAGGATTTGACGAGAAAAAACACCTGATAAAATATCAAAAAAACATTTTGGTTAGAAAATATCAAAAGAAGATCCACGTCTGCGCCCATGTCTACGCTCATCTCTATGATTACGCCTACGCCTATGCTACGCCGACGATGCAAACATCAAGATCTACGTTCAAATAAATTTAAAAACACCACGATGTTATAACCCGCAATGCTGGGGGGGTTGGTAACTCAAAGCCAACGATTTAGAAAGGAGAATACAAAAACATGTTTCCATAACATTCAGAGCATATACACATAGTTTGCACCAATGTATATTTGAGGCATACACACATTCTTACATATGCATTCTAAAATCTACACTTCCATACACACGTCATACACATACATTACACATGGCATTCCATGAAACCTACTACGAACAGAGCCCGTATCTTTGGGCCCTCCATCAACTCTTACCTCAGTTAGAAACAAATAACCAGTAAAATCTATTCTCATCTCTGATATATGTATCTAAGATATGGACTGTTCAAAACATATTCCTATCTATTCCACCCATTTTGTCAGTCTCTATGCAACAATGTGTGAATTTTCTACATTTAACTTATTGTGTCAGTCTCCACACAACAATATGTTTTTCCTTTGTGATCTAGCTCATTGTGTCAGACTCCAGGCAGCAATGTTGCGAAAGCATCAATTCAACCCATTGTGTCAGTCTATATGCGACAATGTGTGAAATTTCCATATTTAACTTACTGTATTAGCCTCCACGCAACAATATATTTTTCCTTTGCGATCTAGCTCATTGTGTCAGACCTCAGGCAACAATGTTGCAAAGTCGATGACTCTACCCATTGTGTCAGTCTCTATGCAACAATGCATGAATTTTCTATATTTAACTTATTGTGTCAGTCTCCACGCAACAATATGTTTTTCATTTGAGGTCTAGCTCATTGTGTCAGACCCTAGGCAGCAATGTTGTGAAAGCAGCAATTCAACTCATTGTGTCAGTCTCTATGCGAGAATGTGTGAAAATTTCCATATTTAACTTATTTTGTCACTCTCCACGCAATAATATGTTTTTCCTTTGAGATCTAGATCATTGTGTCAGACCCCAGGAAACAATGTTGCAAAGTCGACGACTCCACCCGTTATGTCAGTCTCTATGCTACAATGTGTGAATTTTCTACATTTGACTTATTGTGTTAGTCTCCATGTAGCAATGTTGTTATCAAACTCGAACATGTTGTGTCAGTCTCCATGCAACAATATGTTCTTTCTTCGCGATCTAGTTCATTGCATCAGTCTCTATGTAATAATGATATTATCGAACCTTTTCCATTGCATCAGTATCCATGCAACAATGTTATTGTCAAAACTTTTCTGCAACAAAGATCCATTGCATCAGTCTCCAGGCAACGATGTCATTATCATGTTGCCTCCTCGGTTTAACTCATTGCATCAGTCTCTATGCAACAATGGTGTTATCAGTTTTCTTACGATTTAGCCCTATTGCATCAGTCTCTATACGACAATATATCGTCAAATTTTATTTTTTCTGTTCCCTAGGTCGCAATGAATAAACAAACTCAAAACAAACCAAAACTTGCTATATTAGTCTCCAAGCATTAGTAGAACTAATTGTTCAAACCTGCATCATTTACCTCCTAAGTAACGATAGATATGCAAAGGATCTCTTCTTAGATACCAACAAGTTATATGCATCGTCATGACTAGGTCAACTTAACTTTGATTCAAACGCAGATTAAATGATACATCATCATCTATGCTTGCTCTTCATATCCATGAGAGCGCTGCACAACGTATCCTTATAAATCTTTTGGGCAAATCTTGGGATTTTTCAATATTTAATAAACTTTCGATCAGAACGTGCGAGGCCTGCGTATTCTCGCACTATTCAATCGAAAGATGATTAAATAGGAGCAACTATCATACTCCAAATTTACCCTATCCTTAGATCATATATAAAATTTCTATTTTTATATTATTAAGTTTTATTTCTATAAGGATGCTTAAAAGAAAAAAAATGTTATATTAATCTAAAATAGATCATCAATATCTGATGGCCTATTAGATTTTTAGAAAAGAAATTCGTTCTAATCCATGATCTATATATATATATATATATATATATATATATATATATATATATATATATATATATATATATATATATATATATATATATATATAACATTTGGGTCAAACACGGCCTAGACGACAGACTCACACCGTCCTCCTCGCACCATGGAACACCGACCCCACCACAACTAGCGATTAAGACACTCCATCCATATCCTTTACATCTCTCACCTTTGGTGATCTTCGTACCAGATAAAGAAATTCACTACCACCTCCACACCTACAAGGAGACGGTAACACACCAGTCACATTCGCCCATTCAATAACTTTGCCTACTAATGAAACACACATGTGATTGTGGGACATGCTGATGGTTGTTCAGAGATAGTATTCAATTGCATTGAAGTAACAGAATGAGCGACTTCAAAGACTCTAAACGGTCCACTCACGCCATCGTGTACCACTTGGACCCATGAGAGGCTCAGTCCAGGGCCAATTAGGAAGTATTGACGTACCGCGACACACACCATGTTGAGTCATTATGACACCGCCAACCACACAGTCATTGATGGCACAAAACGCATTAGTACCTTAGAAATGCATTCAAGTAGCTTTTAAAAAAGGAGAAGATAATTTTCTCTTTATATTTACTTCTCAAAACGATATGACTGTATATTAAATTTAAAAACAAATGAAAAAAAAAAGAGTGAAATTTAAACTTCTAAAGAATCTCTTAAATTTATCATGTAAGCATTGAATACATTTTAAAGTAACACATGTTAAAAAATCTAAAATTAGTATAACAACTATCTGTAACTGAAAATTTAATTTGTGATGTCTTTTTTAACAATTATATATCGATAATGAACTCAATAGAAAGTTTTAATTGAAATTTTTATTTTATTCATTATGATTTTAAAATTAATAAAGCTAATTTTTTACTAAAGTATAAAGTTAGTTGGGTTAAATATGTTATAAGAATAAATAATTCAAAATTTAGTTTTAATTCCTAGAACATTTTCGTTTAAAGAAAGATCTTCCTAAAGTTTTACTATCTTATTTTATGTTTTTACCATTTATTCCACTTAACAGAAGTTTACCTGGACACTTACTTGGCAATTTTTTTAAAAATAAATGGACAATTTATAATTTCCACGTGTGAAAATAGTTTACAAGATATTATTAAGTATAATTTTCTTGTAATTAGACGTTGTTTGCCTTCGTCCTCTTTGTGATTTATTCTTCATCTCTTTCTTCTAGATCCAGTCGCAGTCGAAGCTTTCTTACTCGTAAACCTAATTCGTCATTATCAAATGAAGGTTGATGTCGTATTCTAGAACAATTGCTACGAAACCCATGAGCGTGTCTTCGTCCTCTGTGGGATGTCGTCGAGGAAGGAATTGTGGTTGTGAAGCTCGTATGGTCTCATATGTCTGCAAGAATGGTTGCAGTAAAGGCATGCTCTTTTGGAGATGTCCATTTTCGCAGAGTGAAGAAACTTACAATTTATTCATATGGGATGAAGATTTGGTTAAAGAAGATGATAATGGTGTTGAACAGGTAGATGTCAACAAGTTGAAGGAATTGGAGACAATTGAACTGATGAGGGAGTTGTACGAAGGTTCCTAGAAGAAGAACATGAAGCTGCAAGCGAAATTGAGATCAGAGGCATGGGCTGGAAAAATCAAGTTTTTCTGTTTTGTAGATTCTCTTATGATTAATGTGTATCTAATAATGAAATATAATTATTGAAGTAAGGTTGTTTGAGCAATGTAATCATTGTGTTTCTAATAGAATTATGTTGATTTTACTTGATGATTGTATAGTTTTGATAAGTTGTTGCTTTAATTGAAACAATTTTGCTTAAATATTGACATAAAAATGCCTTAGTGCTGCTAAACTTTTGACACAGTTTGACTAAATTTTGGCATAGTCACTCCATAACTATTGCCTTAGTTGTTCTACAAGTTTGACATAGTTTTCCTAAACTTTGGCATAGTCACTCGTGAAATATTGATATAGTTTGCCTCAATTTTGGCATATTGTGGCCTAAAACATTGACATACTTTTCTAAAATTTGACAAACAATAATTTGAAGTCAACAAAAAGTTTGCACCATACAATTTGACAAGCAATATGACAACAAATTGACAGCAAATTGATTCATTAGAATAGCATACCCAAAATGATCAAATACATCATCTTAGATTGTAACCTAACCAAAATACAAGTCAATGCTCATAGATTGTAGCATAACCAAAATACATAGTAGTTCAAATTATTCAAAATACACGTATAGATACAACTAAAAATTTGCAAAATACAAGTCACTGCTCATAGATACCACATAAAATTCAAATTCTTCTAATTCCATCCTTATTGAGTCAAGCCTTTTTGAATTTCATCCCAACTTTTCATACCCCTCTTGATTGGTTGTTTTGAGGTATCCTCTTCAGTGAGTACAACTGGATCTTCAGTGTGTTTTACAAGCCCCTTGATGTCTTTTGTTTTGATAGGCATGAGTCTTTCACTCTTTCTGGTATGAACCACAAGAGTTCTTACTTGTTTCTTCTTTGGAGCCATACACTTGACCTAAATTGTCAATTAACAATCATGATCAAACTTAAATGACAAAAAACGTAAATCATTTTAGAAGGTATAATCAAACTTAAGGGATCACTGCAAGTTGCCTTGACATTTCCTGGAGGTTTGAAGGCCTTGGAAGGTTTGACTTTTGGTGCACTCCCAAAGAAGATTCTGACACCACATGTGTTTGAAGGGTCTTGGTTTACAACATAATTTTTTTATATAGGGCTTTCATAAACTTTAATAGGTGGAATGTCCAGAACAATATCCTCTTCATTGTTGCTTTCATTTAGAATTGTTTCTAATATATCTGGATCTATTTCATTGGGGTATCCTCCTCTATCTGGACTTGGTGCCTCATTGTTTTGAATTATGACTGGAAGTGGTGCAGGCTGAGCATCTTGTAGTGATGTCTATCTTGATGCCTTATTGTTTTGAACATCATCTTCACCTTTTATGCCCTTGTTCCTCTTTCTTGCATTCTCCATAAATGTTGCATCCCCTTTAGTTGGTTTGGCCTCAGTGTATATTTCAAGCTCAACTTTGTAGTTTTGAAGAAAGGCAACTAACTTAAATCGATCACCATCATCCCTAATTGGTTTTAGATCAGTTTATAAACTATCTTCACTATGTTTCCACCATATTCTAACATCATTGTATTCAAACCCAGGATCTATTCCCTTAATTAAATCACACGCCTAAAAAAAGACCAACAATCAGGATCATGACCATTAAATGCGTAAACATCTCCACCCTCATACTTTAATATAAGGTCTTTTACCAAACATCCCTTTGTGTAAAATACTACTTTAAAGAAATCCATGCCTACAATGGAGGAAAAAATGGAAGTTAATAATGGATTCACATATTTGACTTAATATGCAGAAAACCATATTAACTAAATACACTGCAAGTAAAATACAAACCCTAGACCAAACTTCAATAAAATAGAATCTAAAGTTAAATAGGTGAACCTACCCCAGATTCAATGTCGAGGGACCATAAGCATGCACCTTTCAAGATGATTCTGGAACCAGAAAGCAAACGCGATAAACTTGAAAACAAATATATGCAACCAAAACGAAAATACACAATGTGTTACAATGACTATGTTGAACCAACTAGAAGCATTCGTTTAAAGAATAAATGAAAGGAGTATAAAATGAACCTTCTACTCAGACCTTGCACTTGAACAAGAAAGCGATGGACTCGATTAGGATTTTTAGCAAGAACGAAAATCCCCTTTGTGTGCTAAATGAAATCCTAATTTTACTCAATTGATAATAAATACGTGACATCTAATTATTCCGTATTACTTATTTTTAAAATTTTAAAAAATTGCTAAGTCAGCGTCTACGTAGGCTTCCGTTAAGTGGAATAGATGACAAAGATGAAAAATAGAGACAAAAAACTTTATAAAGATCATTCTTTGAATGAAAATATGTTAGAGACTAAAACTAAATTTTTAAATATTTATAGAAACTAAAAATATATTTAACGCAAGTTAATTTAATCTTGTCTTAACTTATTATTCTCTACTACAAATTTGTGTAAGTAATCATAACCATCTAAATATGAGCCACATAATATAACAAAGAAAGAGTAATTTTCATCAAGAAGAATGAAAAAACTCTTAGGTTTTGTTTATGGCTTTTAAAGGGAAGGTCCTATTTTGGGAGGAGGAGGGAGATAAACTTAGAAATGTTTTATATTTTTTAACAGTATTTCTTGTAGAGAAATATATATATATATATATATATATATATATATATATATATATATATATATATATATATATATATATATATATATATATATATATATATATATATATATATATATATATATATATATATATATATATATATATATATATATATATATATATAATTGAATTATTAATGCATTTAATAGTAAAATGTTATAATATAAATCAAATTGAACAGTTTGTCCAAACTCTTCAAAATCTTCTTTCAATATATTCTTTTAGTTTTTTTTTTTGGGATTTAGTGTTAAGAAGGAAAACAAACCCCTTATTTATGTTGGGGGATTATTCTTTTTTCTATTCATTTTTTCATTTTTTTAAGCCCAAAACCATCATTTTCTTATCTATCTATATTTGCAAACAAAACTTTAATAGCATTTTAACAGGTTTTTGATTTAAATTTAAGGTTTATGATACTTTTGAAAATGAGATGGATAAAATTTTAAGCAATTTAAAAGTTTCAATTGAATTTCCTCCATTTTTAAATTATTGTTTGAATAGAATATTAAAATTAGATATTGTTAAATTATTTTAGCCTTTTTTCAAGTTTAAAATTTTATGGGTCAAATTTAAAAAATAGGGTTTAATTTACAATTTCATAAAATTATTAGAGACTAATTTTTATTTTATGAAATCTTTAGGGTCATTTTGAATATTCTAAAAAATATGAGGACTGAATTGCAAATTTTAAAAACTGATAATAACTTGCATTTATTTGTATGGACTAGGAGGAGAATTTTAAATTTTAAATTTTAAATATGATTTAAAATTCTTTAATTTAACTTAAAAAATATTGTATAAATTCTTATTATTTTAATAATTCTTTATTTATCCCAACAATTAATTTTTATTAAATCATTTTAAAATCTCCCCGAAAAAAATATTTTTCTTCGTTAAAACACTTCATCTAAACATACTCATATATATATAGTCTAGCAACATTTGTATCACATTTGAATACAATTAGTCAAAACTCAAGAATTGGTGTACACACTTGTTTTCTTCCTTTGCTATTAGTAAAAAATTCAGTTACATCAGTCCAGCTATTATAAAGACTATGCCACAAACATTCAAAATAAACATTAATGATGTATTGGAGTTTTTCTTTTTGGTAGAATGCGTTGAACTTTCTTAGTCTTACAATAAAAAAGACTTCTTAAATGAAATTTGGTTAATATAATTCTTATTTTCACTATCGTCTTATTAATAGAATGTAAATTATTTTATTAATTAAGAAAGTGATAAAATTGTTAATGATCGAATTTTTATTTGTGTTAAATACCACAAGGTAAAAGATGCAGAAGTCCAATTACAAACTTACGGTATTGCTTGGTGAAGAGTAGTTCAACCTTTTTCTCCTCTTAGGATAGGCAATTTCCAGATTGATGTGACGACTAACCGTATGGCCTGCCTCATCACATGACTTTGAATCTAACAAATTTTTTTATTTAAAGAAGGGAATGTATCATTATTCAAGTATTTAAATATTTTTTCATTCAAACTTTATTATCATTCTTTATTAATTTGATCGTTTGAGTGTTAATCTTGCAAGTCAGTTTATTTTCACTACATCGGACGTCCTAAATCACTACAATAAACTATGGATTCACACCCTCCGATTGAATCTAGTTCCAATGTGGAACATTGACACTGTCTTTTGGAAGCAACTTCTAATTCCTATGATTTTCTACGATCTAAATCTTGTCGATTCAACCTAATCGCATCCGACAGAAATTCAAATGTACTTCGATCTAAGGGCAAATATTCATTTCTTGATTATTTCTGTCAAACTCATAATCAAACTTTCCTTCATCAGATCTTTTAATGACGGTGGCTTTCAAAGCCACTAGCTCTTTGTCCAACGGCAAGCCACTGGAGTTGCCAAGAATCCCCCGCCTTCTCGTTAAGGGATGAACGGTCAAGTAGTAACAACCACTCCTTCTGTTTCCTACCGCAAAATTTTGTCCAACCTAGAGTAAATCAAGGAACTTCTCAGCCTTCTCCGTTCCTTAGGTTTTCACCGCAATTGCACCTAGGGTAACCTTCACTCTCTTACTGACTTGAGCGTTGTTATGCTAATTTTGCAGGTTAACCTCCATCCACTACATTAGAAGCTCTAAATCGTTGCATCTGATTGTGGTTTCATCCTCTCTGATTGAATCTAGTTCCAGTGCAGAACATTAGCATTGCCTTTGGAAACAATGCTCCCTGCTACCTCCTTCAATGTCCGAAATAGTGCTCCCTGTATTTAACTCTTACAAGCTAATCTTAGATTGCAGGGAGCTAACGAACTATTTAATACCGTCTACCAAATGGTTCAGCTGAAAAAAATCACAAGCCTTGGTAGAGAGGCTGACTTGAATTGAAGAAAGTTTACATAATGGAAATCTAATAAACAGCAGGCCAGAGGCTCAAGAAAGCCATTGAAGTCGTGGCCAGGGGCAAAGGCAAAGACGTGAGTAGCGGGGAGGATGAAGGACACAAGGGAAGCGCCAACCTTAATCGAGTAGATGAAATACATGGCCATCCAACCTCCTAAGAGTAAAGTAAGTCATCTTGGTTGGGCGATCTGATGTGGATGATCTAGAAAAAGTCAGGAAAAACTGCCACAAATCTCGTGGTCAACAAGCAGTGGCTATGCCTCTTCGTTATGTTAAATCCATATTCTTTTTTCTAACAACAAAATAATCATAATGTATTATAATCCTTTGATTAAAGAAATAAATTTTTCACTAAATTATCTTTGAAATTCTGGCACACACAATATAGATGTCAAGACTGATGTCTCAATGTACGAGCACAATGTCACGACAGATGTTATGATATCTACTGACATAACAACAACAGAACAATAGAAATGCAGAACTTAAAACTTATAGAAGTAAAAGAACACAATGATATGTTAACCTAATTCGGTGCAAACTCACCTACTCCGGGGGCTATCAAGCCAGGAATCAAATCCACTATTAATAGTGCTAGTTCAAAGCTAAACTTCCTCGTTTACAACTTCTCGCCTAATTCCTACACAATACAACTTCACTTAGGCACGTTCTAGATATGAGAAATTGTCATCTCTTTCCAATAACTACAATGATAAGCAAATAACCCCAATCCCGAGGAATGTCTCAAGAAATCAAAACAGGAAGAACACACTTCTGAATTATAAATACTTAGTTTTCTTAAAAGCTTCACTAAGAACAATACTCAACTCTTGCTTCACAAATTCGAGGAGAACAATAGCTTGATGAATAAGAAACAATTAGTCAACTCAAATGTATCAAAGATAGATGAGGATGTATAGAAAACTAAAACTCCCTTGTAGAACCCTCAGACCCAAAACTAAGAAAATTTGGCTTCCCCTTATTTTTTACAAAGTTCATGATAATATTAGGTATAAGTAGTTTCTTTAAATACTCCT